ATGTTGAAAATGAAACAGCATTTCTATTAATCCATTTTAATTAGGATATTGTTACTTCTTCGCTTCCATAAACAACCATGAAAGGTTTCTGTATATCTATTTTTGGAGGTAGACCATGAAATAATTTAAGTGGGGATCTCAGACATGTCCAAATATCAGGCATTTTAAGAAAATGTATTAAAATGTGTTGTTGGAAACATATACTGATTAAGGTTGTTTATTATAAATTGAGATGCAATGATAACTTGAGATGGCTATCCTGTAGATTGACAGTCATGGATATGTGTTTGTGAGTATGTGTGTGAAAATTTAAATGTGTATATATGTATATGTGATCATATGGCTATGTACAATTAGAGGTACAAAGGGGTGAGGTATAATAAGCTATGCTACTCACTCCTTTTTGACTACGCCAACTATTTTATTGGCTTTTTTGGTTGAAGAGTTTTACAATTTTGASTTTCCTTTTGTTTAGTTTATTTTCATTTTTTTGTGCTATGGAGACATATGTTATGTAATAAGTGGAAGCTAGATATTTGTGCATATTCAAAATAAAACAAAAAAAGGCTACAGAAAGTACTACAGCAGGCTGCTGCTGCTATTATGCTCGCAAACATTCATAAATGTAATTGCAATGCCATAAATGCACAAAGAGTTTAAAATAGCATTTGCTTGACTGAGGTGTTTTACGACTGCTTTTGGTTTTGGTCCTGCTCTGACTAGTAATTAAAACTTTTTTTTATTCCTCTAAGCTGAMRTGGTTCAAAGAACAACRAGTAAAATCTYTGTATGATAGAGCTTTAAYCRAAAGCCGCAGATCAGGAACATCAAGTTTTGATTTCTGATGAAACTTGATCAGAAAAAAAAATAGCCGTKTGATGAATTTCTGAACTGTGGTTGAATATTCAGTCTTTTCACTGTTTCATTGAGAAAAAGTCTATTATYCTGAAAATCTTCCATCATTTTAAATTTTTACAAACATGTTTTAAACTACTACAGGCCCTGTCACATTATCACAACTTATGCCAGCTTGTGAAAATTTTAAAGACATCGAAATTGAAGATGGAATTGAAAAAATCAACTGGAAGCTTCTTTTAGGTGTGTTCATGTAATTCTAACAAATTGATTMAACACAACTTTTATTWGYAATTTAGGCATWAAAATGTTTCATAAGTTGACATAAGTTGTCTAGTAAGGGCCTTACTAAAGCAATTACCTACCGTCATGCTTCATTTCCATAAAGCCGAACGGGTTGTTAAAATGTGAGAGCCGGTTCCACTCGCTCATGTTGAAGTTGTCTCTGTGCAGAAACAGGCGTATGTTGGGCAGGAAAGCCTTCTGGAAGKCCTCGTCCTTGGAGTTGCGCAGAGAGTGGGCACATGTCTGAGTATGACAGTGTTTAATGATAAATTAATTCCAAATAGACATTGATATTCAGCAGGCACGTGCGGGAGGTAGAGGGGTGGGGGGCTGGAGCACCTGCCCCCCTTGCCCTTTGTCCTGAAGTGCCCATTTGGTCAAGTGTATTTTATTTATTTATTTATTTATTTATTTATTTATTTTGCGCATGCCCTCCTCTAACACCTAGTTGAAATATGTATTATTCATGTTGTTTTGTAAAAAGAAAAAATGAAACACGACATCACCTGTTACCTTTGACCTGCTTCCCCTGTGACGCGCAGTGTTGTATAAAGTACCTCAAAGTGACACTTGAGTAAAAGTTCAAGTATCTTATAAAAATACTTAGGTAAAAGTTAAAGTATTCTCTAAAAATATTACTTGAGTAAAAGTCTTAGCTGATATTTTTTGTACTTAAGTATCAAGAGTAAATTTCTGCCACAAAATCTGCTTAAGTATTAAAAGTAAAAGAACTGAGTAAAAGTGAGCAGTTAGATTTTCCAAAGTGACATTTATTGGGAGGCGACTTCTCCAAAAAATATTTTTTCCAACTCCGTGCAGCTGTGATGGGTTATGTACAAGGTAATATGTTGTCAGAATGGTATATATTTATACTAGTTCATCATAGTTAGTAAATAGTTTAAAGAACTAAAGTCAAYCTCCTGGTGCTGGACTGTGGTTGTTACTGTTAGGGTTTCAGCCACTATAATGAAAGGAGTCCTGCAGAGTGAAAATAAATAAATAACACGTATGTATGGTGGTGTGGATRTTTTAGTTTTTCCTAGATTTGGTTCAGTTGTACATTTCCATCCTTACTTTTCTTACTTATATTCCACCCTACAATGCGGTGCCGTTGCTATAATTTGTGCCCCCCCCACACCTTTTTTTTTACTTTGAGCACCTGCCCCTTTACTGGTCTCTGCACGGCCCTGATATTCAGCAACACTTAACGCTTGATTTAGTGAAAGCTCTGGAGCCCATAGCTTAAACAAACACCTGAAGTGTACAGAGAGAGAAAAGCAAATGGAAAATTCATCAACGCTGAAGACATATAACAGTACCTGCTAACACCCACAAAGTAAATACCTTTCACATGTTTTTGTGTTATTATGTCTTAAAGAACTTACTGCTGGTCTCGGTGGAGCATCCTGGTTATAAATATCCTCAAAATCCCACTGAGGAAATTTCTTGAAAGACTTCTTGAGAATGATGGGAATAGGGGTCTCAGGAACAGGGGTTGTGGTATTAAGTGGTTCTGTTGTCACTGGAGTCATTTGAGTCGTTGGACCTTTGTTCAGTTCAGTTTTGTCCAATAAGATTTCATATTTAATCCAGCTGTCTTCCCCTGTTGATCTGTTATATCCCGAGAAAGCTGCCCAGCTGGATTTAAAACAGAAAAAAAAAAGTTAGTGCATTTGTATTAGAGCAATTAAAAGTCATTGAAAATGTTCATCTTTCATGGGAAATGAAACACTTACCTTAGTTTCTCTGGTAAAAGTGACTGCGTTAGAAAAAGGAGTAAAACGCTGGCTGATATCACCATCAGCAGAGAAAAGACTCTGACGCTTTGAATCGCCATCCCTGAGAAGTTTGGTCCAACGCAGMCAGAAGCACTGCTTGTTGGCAGGTGATGCTCAAAGCAGTGATGGAAGCCTTGTGGACAGGGAGCCAAATATCACACCCTTTTGATCAGACAAACGAGTACCGCCAGAAACGTCACGCAACGAATCTGCTCAAAGCAAACTGCAGGGTTGTACATGTAAGCATGAGAGTGAGCAGGTTTGTTTCACCCGTAAAAAATGACATGCAAAAAATAAAATAAAGTTAATAAAATAAAATAAAATAAACAGAAACACACAGAGCCTGTTTCATTGCAAAAGGAAGTGTATATAAATGCCAGAAAACAAAGAGAGGACACTCCTTTTATTGATCTGTTTTGCATGATTTACCTGTTGGCTGTGTAAAAGAGTCAAGTACATTTAAAACACAAATAAGCAACTGAGAGTACACATGAACTGGAGCTGAATATTTAACCGAGGAACTAAACACAGAGTCGTGAATGAAACAGTCAGCCCCGCATCCCCCCAGGATCCGTCTGACAAGAGACAAGCAGAGCCAGACAGGTCAGACATTTAATTTGCTCAAAGGCTCTGAGGCAAACTGAATCATTTTGATATGGCGACACACTGTACTCAGCTGGGCGGAGCTAAAGATAAAGACTCAAAACATTGTGGTTTGTCACGTAATTAAAGGGAAATTCTGCACAGTTGTAACCAACACTCCTTCTTTCTTGWTTCATCTGTTCTGAACAATGGGGTGATACAGGGACAAGACACGGTGGAGAATTTAGACTATGCTCTGTTGAAACATTATTCAAGGAATTTGAYTCACGGTGAAAAAAACCTGAGAATGACGTGAAGCGAAAATATTTAATTAAATTACCCTGTTTAGTTTTAAGGCCAATAACTGACTAAAGGTAACATTAAATGTGTTTTATAATGTGCTATTGTAAACAAATCTAACACACTGTATTTATTCTGCATTAAATAATGTGTAAAAATAGAAACACTAAAAATGTAGAAATACTTTTTAGGCTGAGGATAAAATCTAAATTTAAACGTGAACAACACGACACATGCTGACGTTAAAATATTTAACCTGTCTGTATCCATCCGGTGTAAAGCTCATCTGTGGAAAACTAAAAAAAGGATGTAAATCTGCGGTCATTGCAGTCACGTCTTACTTTGAATTAAAAAAAACAAAAAAACAAATGCAGTCATTTTGATTCATGACGAATGAAAGCTTTTAAAAACCACAAAAATGGATGACTCAGTCTTTTTGCATTCCATATGGGAGTAAATTTCTCATTTGTTTTACGACTCATGGAGCTATAGGTCAGAACATGTGTGTTCCTCTGAAAAAGCAGAGCAGACCCAATTAAAAAAGGCAAGGAGATCCATGATTTGCGGATGAGGATGTAGCCAAAGTGATTCTATTAATGGGCTCACTGGGTGATCCTGCATGTGGTCACAAGAGGGACAGTGTTAGGTTTCAGTTTGGTAGACTTGTACCTGCATGTTGGCATCCTGCTTTCACAACATCCACTGTGTTTCAGTCGAGTTTGCTGAATCATAATGAAGTCATGTTTTTAGTTTGATCCTGCTTTAATGGTCAACTGAAGACTCATCATGTTAAAATTGATTAATTTTGTGAATGTTATATAAAGTAGACTGATGACAGTGATTCTTTTAAAGGGGCAATTTTATGTGTTTCTCAGGCATACATTTAAATACCATACCATAATAAAGTATATATGTCACCTTTAGCTGTTATTAAAATGCTGGTTTTACATTCAAATAGAAAATAAACTTATCTTCTCATCACTTCCTCTTCTAAACGCCTTGAAATTTGCCTCTGTCTCTTTAAGAACCTCCTTCTGCTTCTGTCCCATCCCTACCTGGCATCTGAAAATACATTTCCTCAAAGGTATTTTGAATCTGAAAAGAGCTTCACTGAGTGAGAGGTAGTGTTAAGAGCAGCAGACAGTTTAAGTTTCACTTTCACTTAG